TCGAACACGGCTCCGGTCGAGGACGACAGCAACGTGCAGGATGAAGTTGCTCTCGATCAACGCTCTCACGCTATGCACTCGTGAGCGCCCATCTGCTAGCACACGTGCCGGCACCCCGGCACAAGGTGTGTCGAACGCTCTGCTAGCACCATATGTCGGTGTCTGCTAGGAGTATCAACACTGCTCTCGTGCCGCGGGGACGCGTCAAGCCCGCCCTGCCTCAGGCGACATGCGGAGGAGCTGCGGCTTCTACTCCAAACTCGGGCTGACGGCGACGTTTGGCGGGCCAGACGCCGAATTCACAACCTTCTCGGCCGAAGCACCCGTCACGGCGGCGACGAATCGGCTGCACGTCAACCTTGTCCACGCGCCTGCCTACCTCCCGCCTCCGCCGCAGCGGGGCGTGCCTGGAGGATGGGGCAGGGCCGTCATCTTTGTGGACGACGTGGATAGTCTGCAGGCACGGCTCGTGGCGGCCGGCTTGGACGCGCCCTGTCCACGCGACGCTCCGTGGGGAGAGCGCTGCTTCCACGTGAAGGACCCGGATGGGCACGAGCTCTCGTTTGCGACGCCCGACTACGCGCACCCGCGCTGGGACCCGGCGACGCAGAGGGACGAGAGCGCGCTGACGGGCGCGCTGGACGAGCTGCTGGGAGCCGAGCAAGCTGGCGAGCGCTGAGAGGTGTGTTTTCGTATCTCATTATCTCTCTGTGTGTGAGAGGGAGTTGTCGCGGTTTATGTGTAAATACAGCTCAGAGGTTGCTACATGCCATATTGTGTCAGTCTTGCTGCGGTGACTGTGAGAGCTTCCGCCGCCGGCGGGGCGAGGCGAGGTAGAGAACGCCAGACATGAGACAACGCGCACTCTGGGTCTCTGCACAGTCTGGCGCGAGACCGAGAGAGAGAACCAAATTCGGCATTCCTTCCCATTCATCCGCTTTCGGTTAGTGCATGGCAAAGTTTCTCCTTGAGCTGGTTCCGTTCCTGAGGGCGCGGTGTTAGGCCCTCGACTCTCGGCTATGACCACTAGCAGGGGTGGGCGCCACAGAGTAGGTACGTGTCGAAACACCACTCTAGTCTACGGGCAAAGTGCGCCGCCCACCTGCTGACTGCTCGCCGTTGCCGCTTGCACTAGCGCCGCGTCGACCACCGCGTCGGATGCGGCTGTCAATTCGGAGACCAGAAAGATGCCACGGCCGAACGAGAGCTCTTGACCTTTAGACAACGAGAGTCCCACTCTCGCAGTCATCCGCCAGTTCGGAGTGTGGGCTCGTAGAAGGCAGTTTGAGCGTTTCGGAACGCTAGGGCGGGTGCGAGTGGCACCTATACGAGCCCATAGCGCCGCGGCGCCAAGCCGGGCTCCGATGGCCTGAGCGGGAGAAGAGAGAGAGGGGGGGGGCAAGTCGCCCTTGGGACGACGATTGGGGGCAGGGAAGGAGCGTACACCCTCACCTTGCACAGATCAGCCGTCGTCGCCGAGTCACTCGCCGTCGCCATTCTGTCCAGCCCGAAGGAGTCGCAACACCTGATGGCGTTGGTTGCGCCCATTCCGAGTGGCTTTTGGGCCTTCAGAGGCGTTCGGTTCCGGGGTGGGGCACATCGTAGAAAAGAGAGGAGCTGCGCCGATGCCACGGCGCCTTCTCCTATTCGTCCACCATGGCATCGGTGTGCAGCTCTCCTCTCGCCCACTGCGTCGACAGAGGCTCCTCCTCGTCTCTCTTCTGGATGGAACGCCACACGAAGCCTTCGCGCCGTCTCGCTCCGGTGTGAGGCTATCTCCTGGCCGCCACGTCCGCGGGAGGCCCCGCCGCTTGACCGTGCCCCAGTCGGCCTGCGTCTGCGCCGCCTTGTTCGCATGATAGCTGCGTAACCTCGCCCTGTAGAAGCTTGCAAAGGCTGCACCGCCGAGGGCGAGGGTGGAGCCGTTCCCGAGAGCCACGCTCGTGGCGTCACGCTTTGCAGCAATCGAGGCGGAGACGAGCTCGAGCGTTTGGGTCCAGCCCTGGGGGAGTTTATAGATTGATCGATGAGTAGGCTTCCATCCGCAAGCTGCGAATCTCAGGCTGCAGTCTGCTAAGCTTGCAGGCACGCCTGCTCGTGTACCCTCAAGGAGACGATGGCTGCGGACTCAAGCTCCGCCGCAATGGCGTAATTGAGCCCATCTTCGACCTATGATGAAAGAGCCAGGTGCAGCAAAGTGCCTGCCATCGTCGACGGCTAGCGTTCTGCGCGCCACCTGCAACTCTGCCGACAAGACTCTCGTCACGTTGCCCGCCTCGGTCAGCTGGTCGCAGGCGCGCGAGCGACCACCGTTTCCGGCGCACGCCACGCGCCTAAGAGCACCAAGGGAGAAGAGAGCGATGTGGTGGGGCTTGGACAACTTACCTGCGGCAACATGGCCTCGTGATTTAGTGACATTGTGCAAGAGTGGGAGCGCGTCTCCTCGCGATCGTGCGTCTGCCCTCACGATGCTCTGCCCTCACTCACGGGTGGAGCCGTGGGACCAGAGCTACGGCTGTGGTAGAGCACCGAGGTCGTGGAGTATGCTCCAAGTGGAAGATTGCACGGCGGCGGCAGTCGCACGCACCGCCTTCCGTTCCGCATTGTCGCTGCGATAAACGCTCGTCTGAATGCCGGGCTGCCGCATCACAATGATCGCTGGCAGCGTGTGAGTGAGCGTCATTATTTGTGACTCCACTCACCACGCAGGTGGTCTAAAAGTGTATGTGCTTTGATCGATGGTGAAGTCTAGCCGCGAAACGCGTTTCCGAAACCCAAACTGCACCTGCGGGGCTGTTGAAGGCTTGCGTCCTGCAATGTACGCAATGTACTCTCTCTCTCTCTCTCTCTCTCTCTCTCTCTCTCTCTCTCTCTCTCTCTCTCTCTCTCTCTCTCTCTCTCTCTCCTCTCTCTCTTTCTCGCGCGCGGTTGTAGGCACTAAGAAAGAGCACACAGAGGGAAAGCCTCACTCGGCCGGCAGGGTGACCACCAACCATCCAACGAGACGCTGCGTGCCCGCCGCTGCCCCCACCGACGGCTATCTATCTGGGGCGGGCGGGGCAGACCACCACCCATTTTATTCTTTGTCTCCAGGAAGGACGTGTTGCATCGTGCAGGTGGGCCCGAAAAAAAAGACAAAGACGACCTTGACCGGGATCGAACCTGCCCCCCCAGAGGGCACAACCTTAGCAAGCCGCCCCGGATACCAATTTTCGCCCCAGGGGCATTTGTTTGAGGGGCTCCAAATAATGCCTGTTTGGTTGCTGACCCTCTCCCTCGCACACGACTTATATTCAGCCCTCGCGCACCGTGCCCCGTACACTTGTGGCGGCTTCCGCTGCCTGGGTCCCGTGGTTTTGGCCTTCCTTCGGACACGACCTGGACTCAACCGGTGGACGTCCCCCTCCTGCTCCTCCGCCTTCGCGATGAGGAATTCCACGACGCCCGGCGAGAACGGCGCGCTCGAGCACTCCGACGCCGGCTCCCCGCTCGTCGCCCTCTTCTTCAAGCTCGTCCGCTCGCTGCCCGACGACTCTCTCGCCTCGCTGACCGCCGCCGTGCCCGCCGAGCCCGCCGAGCTCGCCGATCTGACGGTGCTCGCCTTCCAGACCCGCGCGACACGCGGTATGGGCAAGGGCGAGAAGGACCTCTTCTACAAGCTGCTCGCCGCCCTCCCCGTCGAGGCTGCGATGGCGACGCTCCACCTCGTGCCGCACTTTGGCTACTGGAAGGACTACCTGCTCATGCAGGGCGTCGCTGGGATCGACGCTGCGGTCAAGGACAAGGCGCTGTCGCTCCTCGCCGACCAGCTGCTCAAGGACGCGGCCGAGATCGAGGCGGCCGAGAAGGAGGCGCGCACCCCGAACCTCACCCTGGCCGGCAAGTACGCGCCCCGCGAGGGCTCCGCCTTTGACGGCCTCGCCAAGCGGCTCTCCAGATGCCTGTTTGGGAGCAAGAACGACGCGGCGTCGGCGCGCAAGTACCGCAAGCTCGTCGCCGCCCTCAACCGCGCCCTCCTCACCACCGAGGTGCTGATGGCGGCCAACCGCTGGTCGGAGATTGAGTTCGCGCGGCGCTCGTCCCTCTGCCTGCAGCGGTCGCGCAAGGCCTTCCTCAACGAGGCGCTCAAGGGCACGCTGATGGCGGCGCAGGAGGAGACGGGCAACCGCCACCCCGAGGACGAGCAGCGGGTGACGGCGCGGCGCAACCTGCGCAAGGCCCTCCTCGATAAGGGCGCCAAGGCCGTCAAGGGCAAGCAGCTGTATCCGCACGAGATCGCGCAAAAGTGCATGCGCGGCGGCCGTACCGAGCTGTCGACCCTCGAGGCGGACCTGATGCACGCGCAGTGGGAGGCGATGCGCGAGGGCGTCAAGGAGGCGATGGCGGCCGCGGCAAATGCGCGCGAGGCGGCGGTCGCCGAGGCGGCGGGGGAGGGTGCGCCGCTCGAGGCGGTGGCGGCGCTGCGGGCGGCGCTGCCCAAGCCGGTCGACCTCGGCAAGCTCGTGCCGCTGGTCGACGTGTCTGCGTCGATGACGGGGACGCCGATGGAGGCGGCCATCGGCCTCGGCCTGGTGGTTGCCGAGCTGTCCCACCCCGCCTTCCGCAACCGCGCCATCACCTTCGAGTCGAGCCCTCGTTGGGTGAACCTCGACGGCGCAGGCAAGGTGGCGTCCAAGGTGCGGGCGCTGCAGGGTGCCAGCTGGGGCGGCTCGACCGACTTTGAGTCGGCGTGCGAGCTGATCCTGGGCTGCGCGGAGAGCGCCCGCCTCAAGCCGGACGAGGTGCCCGACCTGATCGTCTTTTCCGACATGCAGTTCAACGAGGCGAGGGGCGCGCACAGCTGCATGTACGGCCGCTCCGGGCGCGTCGCGTCGTGGGAGACCCACCACGAGCGGCTGACGCGGCGGTTCGCCGAGGTGGGGCGTGCGGTGTGCGGCGAGCCGTACGCCGCGCCGCGCATCATCTATTGGAACTTGCGCGGGAACACGGTGGGCTTCCCGGCGCAGGCCGACGCGCCCAACACGCAGCTGCTCTCCGGCTTCTCGCCGTCGCTCCTCAAGCTGGTCCTGGCGGGCAAGGACCTGGTGGGCGACGAGAAGCAGGTGCGGCTGCCCGACGGCACGGTCACGGTGGTGCGCGAGGGGCCGACGCCGGAGGAGACGGTGCGCGCCGCCCTCGACGACCCCGCCTTTGACGCGGTGCGGCTGGCGCTGGCGGGCGTGCAGGAGGGGCCGCTCGCGGGCTACTCGTTTGAGAAGGACGACGCGGTCGTGGTGGCGGACGCGCCGATGGCGGAGGCGTTTGAGTTGGAGAGTGAGTGTTAGCTTTGTTTGTGATGCCACACCACGGCACGCCAACTTAGAGATCTTTGCTCGGATTACTTTTCCCTCGAAGACATGCTAGTTTTTTTGTTGGTGTTCCGGTGCCTCTACAAAACTATCCGAGTGGGGCCGCGGACACCCGTGAATGACCTTAATTCCAAGACGTCCGACCTATCCCACGCTCTCTCGCGTTTTTGCGTGAACGTGGGACTCAGCGTTGCATGTCTGTAGTCTGACTAACTAGTCGATCTCTGTCTGTCTCCTCGTTCTCGAACACTGTCCGTGCGTGTGATGAACTCAGCCTCTCACCAGCACGCAGCGCCATGGAGGTATTTTCTTCTCAATAACAAGGTCTGTGAAGAGGTCGGCAGCCCGAGCGCCGTCGACCGCACCGACTACGGCACAGCCTCCGGCAGCGCCCGGGGCTTTGTCCAGCACCACTCGCAACAGCTCTCACACACCGCCGTCTGTGGCGACGCGCAGAAACATCAACAACGTTGCTCGCAACATGTCGCGCACTCATTCATGACCGGTCTCCAATGTTCCACCCCCCTGCGCGCGCGGGCCTTCTTAGGCCCGCGGGTAGTCTCACCCCATCCCCAGGGCCTCCAGGGCTCGCACCTCATACAACCTCTCCTCCACGTTGATTTGGCCTGCGCTTTTGGTCTTGAGACAGGCTGTGGGGTCAGCGCCCAGGTGGAGAGCGACTTGGCTGGTGTTTGTGTGGTTTGGTGCGACGGTCCATTGTTGAAAGAGGCTTGTGTTGTCGCAGGAAAGGAACTGGGCGCCCCAGCCACCGTGGGGCAAGGTGTCAGGAGCTTGCGCACTGACGAGGGTAAAACACGGCGTGGCCGGCCTGGCGTTTTACGTCCCCTCCGCGGGCCGTAACACTCCGCGCATGACCGTGGCCGGCGCTCGGCACGAAAACGCCGGCTCAGCTCACGAAAAACAGCAGCACAAACGGCTGCCCACGCAGGTGCAGCATATGCACAGCGCACCGGAGCACGTCACCACGGAGGCTTCAGCAGCCTCCTCTTTCACCGCGCCGGGAAGCTTCGATTCTTCCTTTTCTGTCCCCGCTTCGGCGTCACCGGATGCTGAATCCTTCTCAGGACTGGTTGAAAACGGGACCGGAGCCTCAATATCACCCCCAACCCCCGGCAGACCCTCCAGCTGCTCCACCAGATCCAGCTGCTCCTTCAGTGCTCGCCGCACAGCCCAACTCACAACAGCAAACAGCAAAATGATGACCACGACCTGCACCCCGAGTGCAATAAACTGGAGTGGGCTGTCCGCAGCAGGCGGTGGCCTGTTCGGTGCACCTGCACCAGCACCAGCACCAGCAGCAGGCGGTGGCTTATTTGGAGCACCCGCACCAGCACCAGCACCAGCAGCAGGCGGTGGCCTGTTCGGTGCACCTGCACCAGCCCCCCAGGCAGGATTCGGTGCACCTGCGTTCGGTGCACCTGCGTTCGGTGCACCTGCGTTCGGTGCACCAGCATCAGGCGCTGGTTCCTTTGGTGCCCCTTCACAGGCATCAACTGCCATGCCAGAGGAGTTCAAATGCGTCCTGGTTGGACACGGCGCAGCCGGCAAGACCACATTCCTCAAATGGCACCTGCAACAGGGTCGTGAACCAATCGACTTGCGCTACATCCCAACGCTCGGTGTGGAGGTGCAACCGCTCGCATTCCGCATGAGTGGAGGAGGCAGCATTCGTTTCAACTGCTGGGATTGTGCTGGTCAGGAAAAGCTCAGCGGGCTTCGTGACGGGTACTTCATAGGGGCTCAGTGCGGCATTGTCTTCTTCGACGTTACAGACCCTGCGTCGTACGAGCAGGTCGGCAGGTTGATAGCAGATGTGAGGCGTGTTGCGGGTCACGCTGCGCCGATCGTGGTGGTTGGAAGCAAGACCGAGCGTCCCGACAGACAGGTTCTCGTGGACGAGTCGCTGTATGAGCGAATGCGGGAGCTGGGTGTGTTAGCTCCAGATGGGCACCAGGGGTACTGCGATGTCAGTGCAGTTGCAGATGTGAACATGACGGAGCCGTTTGAGGAACTGGCAAGGCGGCTCACTGGAGACGCAGACTTGAGTCTGGAGTTCATGGAAGGGGCACCACAAGAAGCAGAACAGTCAGCTGGCGGCTTCTCATTCGGTGCATCTGCGTTGGTAGCACCGCCGCCGGCATCAGGCAGTGGATCATTTGGTGCACCTGCAACTGGGCCACAGGCAGCGTTCGGTGCACCTGCATTCGGAGAACCATCAGCAACCCCAAGCAACGGCTTACCAGCACCAGTATCAGGCATGTTTGGTGAGCCTAAAGTAATTATGAAGTGTGTGTGTGTGTGTGTGTGTGTGTGTGTGTGTGGGTGGGTGGGTGGGTGTTTTTTGCCTGGTCTGCAAAGCGGTCGGCCAGGTACTGCATGCCCTTCACCGCCTGGTTTAGCGGAGCGATGGTAAGCGACCTCTCCAACTTTACAGGTCAGGGTCAGGGTCAGGCTTATGGTCAGGGTCAAGGTTAGGGTCAGACGACGTTGGATTCAGACCGGAGTGAGGGTGCGGGTCAGGGTTAGGGTTAGGGTCAGGGGGGCCTGTGAGGAGTGTGGGATGAAGCGTTGGGTGATCCATTCGAATGCCGGGCGCTCTGGGTGAAACTGGGCCTAACCCAGGTCAGGGTTAGGGTTAGGGTTAGGGTTAGGGTTAGGGTTAGGGTTAGGGTTACTGCGAATATCGGTAGCGTGGCGTGCTCGAGAGAACTGACAAACTCCTGGGAGAGGGTGAGGGTGAGGGTGAGGGTCCGACTGCGAACCCTGACCCTGACCCTGGCCCTACCGACCCTGACCCTGGCCTTGCCGTCCTTATCGTGGTTGAGGCTCAACACACGTACATCAGCCCGACTAGGGTCAGGGTCAGTAGGGCCAGGGTCAGGGTCAGGGTTAGCAGTCGGACCATCACCCTCACCCTCACCCTCTCCCAGGAGTTTGTGAGTTCTCTCGAGCACGCCACGCTAACGATATTCGCAGTAACCGTAACCCTAACCCTAACCCTAACCCT